ATGAAACACGAAAGAGTAGGCTTCGGAGGCGTATGGTATGAAATAGTACTCTTTTTCTCAATGATGACTAGTGATAAACCGGTGCATTACTGCGACTAGACACAGAGTTATTTACTTCCAAAGAACACAGAGAAATGGACGAGCCCCGATCCATATTGCGCAACAAGCATAGGATGCACGAGAGGGTGTTATAAGGGTACCTGTACGGGCTAGTACGGGCACACATTGGGGGGGCCGAAAAAAAAATGGGGTGGCCGAAAAAAAACTGGGGTGGTCGAAAAAAAAATTGGGGTGGCCGAAAAAAAATTGGGGCGGCCGAAAAAGGAAAAAAAGCGGCCGAAAGAGAAAAAAAAAGCGGCCGAAAAAGGAAAAAAAAAACTAGGCCTGTCCTCCATCGGCCGTTTTGCTTGTATGACGGAGAATAAGAAGGTGGAATTACTTGAAATTAGTATAGAAATAAAGTTTGTGTATCTAAATCGAAAATAAAACGGCCGATGGAGGACAGGCCTAAAAAAAACGGCCGATGGAGGACAGGCCTAGAGTGCGGGCGGTGGTGCTGCGGGATGATTCGGATTGATTCCTACAGCAGTAGAATACACTTTAAAAAAAACAACACACACCAACCGTGGTCTTCTGCAATGCTATAGCATACACTTCAGCATCAGCACCAAACGGAAGGACAGGAAAAACACCACGGCATGAGTTCTGCGCCTCGTACGTCTCTCTCTCCCTGCCCCCCCGCCCTCCCATCTCTCCCTCCCTCCTTCTCGCTATTCTCACTTGAGTAGTCGTTCCGTTGGAGGATCGGTTCCAGCAACCCAGCCAGTTTGTTGAACACCGGTTCCTCCATGCGATACATCCTACGGAAGAGCTTCCGCTTGATGAGGTCAGCAGCGTGATCCTCCCAAAAAACCAGGCGCCGTGGCTCGTTGATAGCCGCACGCGTCTTTTTAGCGCTAGCGTGCACAGCTACAGAGGTGACCACTGCCGCACTCAGTACCAGCACCACCACAGCAGCAGCTGCTTTCATCTGCCGCACCAGCTCTTGGCGACCGGATGCACACCTGAATCGTTGGCTCGGTGGGCCAGCACACGACGAACCAAGAGGCGCGCCGCGTTTGTTTCCTGCGTTCCGCCATGGCCCTACCGCTATCCAAGTACCCCCCGCTGATGCTGCTTCTTCCTTGTAGTTGGTCCTGTTGGTCCTTTAGCTGCTGGGTTTGTTGTGATGCTCCAATTTATTTGGACAATTTGTCCAAAATTTGGAAGCTACTGAGTACAAATTTTGGCGCCCAGGTTCGTTCCGAATTTTTGGACAATATTTGGACAAACGCCTCTCTCTGTACAAGTTCCGGAATTCGGACAATTTGTACATTTGTACAAAAATTGTACAAAATTTTTCGTGTATAAAACGGCCCTATATAAAGTCTTATCCTTACTCTAGCAGCAGGACACTGCTGTGTCGTGCAACTCNGATGCTGCTTCTTCCTTGTAGTTGGTCCTGTTGGTCCTTTAGCTGCTGGGTTTGTTGTGATGCTCCAATTTATTTGGACAATTTGTCCAAAATTTGGAAGCTACTGAGTACAAATTTTGGCGCCCAGGTTCGTTCCGAATTTTTGGACAATATTTGGACAAACGCCTCTCTCTGTACAAGTTCCGGAATTCGGACAATTTGTACATTTGTACAAAAATTGTACAAAATTTTTCGTGTATAAAACGGCCCTATATAAAGTCTTATCCTTACTCTAGCAGCAGGACACTGCTGTGTCGTGCAACTCGATCACCCTCCCTGTCGATAGAGAAAAGAAAGATTGCTCGCGTTGTATTTCATCGGCTCATCCGGCTGAAGCCTGACGTTTTCATACTACATTGATTGGTCGGCCTGGTCGGCTGGTAAGGGTGACCGCTGCCGCCACAGCAGCAGTAGTTCAGGCAAGTAACACATCGCGATTGAGACAAAACAGACAACGCCCGCACGCACACACGGCACATCGCGATTGAGGCACACAACAGACAACACACACACGCACACATGCATATTCATGTCAGCCATGCTGGATCGGTCTCGCTTTCGCAGGGTGACCCGTGCGTTTCGCATATAGACTGCAGCAAGCAGTCGTCCAAGGGTTATCGTTCGTGCGTCTGCATGTTTCCCAACGGAACAAACGTGCTGGGATACGTGTTGCCCGGCCATTGTTGACTCAGCTAGAGGAAGAGTTGACGGTTGGTGTTGTTTTGCAGGGGGGGAAACTGATTCCTGCCCCGTTGCCATGGTTGTTATTTGGAGGGAAGGGTGGCCGTTTGGTATCATCTCATGGTTGGAAAAAAGAAGTTGGGAAGATTCCTGCGAGGGAAATGATTAATGAAAGAGTCTAAGTTTCCGACAAGTCAGGGTACATTTCCGAAAACAGGGTACAGTTATTGAGAAAAGTAGTCACGGCAGGGTATACCCTGCGCCTTTTCGGACGCACCGGGGTGAAATTGGGCGCTGACCAATGATATGAGTGCATTTACAACTGTTAATGACTGTGTACCCAGCGTAGGCTACGCCACAAGATGTTGTAGCCAGCGGGAAGTGGTCGGTACAGGTGCAGTTGTATCGCGTGCCGGTACAAGCACGGTTGCATCGCGTGACTTGCCGGGTGAAGCGGACGGAATAATATGCTGTAAACACGAATCCCTCGGCGGAACGGGGGGGACAAGATTTCCTTTTTTGGCGGGGGGGGGGGGCGCTGACTGAAACCCCAATTTGCGATTGGGCACCACCTGTTGCAGTGTTTCAGCGTAGGAAGTGATTGCTTGTTCTTGATGTGGCCAAATTGATGCGTTAACAACGACTATCGCTGATGATTTTTTTCGACTCGGCGTCCAACATTGAGTGAGGAGTGTGCTGCTTCTCGTTTCGGGAAGGATCGCAATCCCCTGCTGATTGTTTTCGGAGCTTGCTCAAGGTACGTTAATCCTGGGTTCCCACTCTCTATCATTTTTTATCTATCATTTTGTTTCTCTTCCGAGTGGTTTTTGTACCCTATTTTTTTCTAGGGCCAATTTCGTGGGTTCGAGACCCGCCGCGAGCATCTTTTTTCTCTTTTTTCTCTTTTTTCCTTTTTTTTGGCGACTCGCTACTCTTTTGCGCCTTGCCGTGGGCGTTCCGAAGCTGTTTTTCTTTTTCTTTTACTCGCTCTCAGTCAAAAGTTATGGAGGGACAACCAAAATCGGGTCCT